ACTTATGCTAACTAAGCTATTTGTTCATAGTTAAGAATGGGACATTAAGAAGTCAACTAGTGTACATGATGGGGGCTGCTGACAATGATCTGGGACCTTTCAAAGGGGAACTATTTAAACTGGCACTTTTAGAATATTTTTTTCTCTTGGACAAGTCAAATTCCTCAAAGGAAACTTTTTTGTTAATGTAACCATTAAATAATTTCGAAATATAGAACATGTATTCACACATCTTTGGTAACATCTAAAATTTTCATCATAAGTTTCAATTATAAAGACTGTAATTTTTCGCAAGACTTCCCTGGTGGCTCAGATGGTAAAGCATCTGCCTACAATGCAGGAGACCTGGGTTTGATTCCTGGGTCGGGAAGATCCTCTGGAGAAGGAAGTGGCAACCCACTCCTGTACTCTTGCCTGTAAAATCCCATGGACAGAAGAGCCGGTACGCTACAGTCCATAGGGTCACAAAGAGTTGGACACAATTGAGCAACTTCACTCTTAACAACTATTTATCTTAAAAATAATGTCAGACTTAGCAAAAAGTTTCAAAAATATGCAGAGTTCCCACACACCCTTCATCCAAATGCTCCTAATGGTAACATCTTACATAGCCAGAATACTATTATCAAAACCCAGGACATCAAAACTGATAAAAGACTATCAGTGGAAACTGCAGACCTTATTCAACTTCTAAACCAATCCAAGATTCCATATGGTATTTAAGTTTCATGTCTCCTAAACTCTGGTCTTGACACTTCCTCCACCCTTCCTTGTCTTTCATCTTGATACTTTTGGAGGTTACTGATCAGTTACTTTGTAAAATAACCTCCAATTTGGCTTTATAAATAGGAAAAGGAGTACTCAAGACTGTATATTGTCACCCTGCTTGTTTAACTTATATGCAGAGTACATCATGAGAAACACTGGGCTGGAAGAAGCACAAGTTGGAATCAAGATTGCCAGGAGAAACATCAATAACCTCAGATATGCAGATGACACCACCCTTATGGCAGAAAGTGAAGAGGAACTAAAAAGCCTCTTGATGAAAGTGAAAGAGGAGAGTGAGAAAGCTGGCTTAAAGCTCAACATTCAGAAAACTAAGATCATGGCATCTGGTCCCATCACTTCATGGGAAATAAGAGAAACAGTGGAAGCAGTGTCAGATTTTATTTTTGGGGGCTCCAAAATCACTGCAGATGGTGACTGCAGCCATGAAATTAAAAGACGCTTACTCCTTGGAAGGAATGTTATGACCGACCTAGATAGCATATTAAAAAGCAGAGACGTGTGCTCGCTTCGGCAGCACATATACTAAAAGTGGAACGATACAGAGAAGATTAGCATGGCCCCTGCGCAAGGATGACACACAAATTCGTGAAGCGTTCCATATTTTTCCTCGTGAAAAAAAAAAAAAAAAGCAGAGACATTACTTTGCCAACAAAGGTACATCTAGTCAAGGCTATGGTTTTTCCAGTGGTCGTGCATGGATGTTGAGTTGGACTGTGAAAAAAGCTGAGTGCCAAAGAATTGATGCTTTTGAACTGTGGTGTTGGAGAAGACTCTTAAGAGTCCCTTAGACTGCAAGGAGATCCAACCAGTCCATCCTAAAGGAGATCAGTCCTGGGTGTTCACTGGAAGGACTGATGTTGAAGCTGAAACTCCAGTACTTTGGCCACCTGATGTGAAGAAGTGACTCATTTGGAGAGACCCTGATGCTGGGAGGGATTGGGGGCAGGAGGAGAAGGGGACGACAGAAGATGAGATGGTTGGATGGGGTCACCGACTCGATGGACAAGAGTTTGAGTAACTCCAGGAGTTGGTGATCGACAGGGAGGCCTGGCGTGTTGCAATTCATGGGGTCGTAAATAGTCAGACACAACTGAGCAACTGAACTGAACTGAATGTTTTCTCATGATAAAATTGAGATTATGCATTTTGGTGAAAAATAGTACAGAAAAGATGTGATATCCTTCTCAGTATACAATACTGGGGTCTCTAATAGTGATGTGTTTTATTCTTGGTAATGTTAACCAGAATCTATTAATTAACATGGTGTCTGCCAGGATTCTCTATATAAATTTACTATGTTTCCTTTTTGTTTTTTGGCCTTAGGGCATGTGGGGGATCTCAGTTCCCTGACCAGGTACTGAACCCACGCCCCCTGTAATTTAAGTGCGTAGTCTTAACCACTGGACTGCCAGGGAAGTCGCCCCATCACTTCTCAAACAAACAACATTGATTAAAGAAAAAAACTATATCACTACTCTTTTAAATGTATCAAATGGACCCTAAAAACTATTATCAATTTGATTTGATAACTGTCATCATACACTGAACAAACTGTTCCTTACTACTGAACTAACCATTAACAGTAAAAGTCTACATTGTTCCTCCCCATCCTGCCTTCTATTTATTCTACACACCGTTATCTTGATGTAATATATTTTTATATTTGAGTTATATGTTGATTATCTAATCATTCTTCTCTGTAAATACATTATCTCTATATAAATTTTTTTAAATATAAATTTTTAAAATGCCTTGCAACCATAAGGTTCTAAGTACCAATTCAAAAGTAATTCTGAGTTTTCATTATAATTAATATTAGCATATGACAGATCAAAACACAAGTATATTATACATTTGGAAACCTATTCAGCAAAAAATAAAATTTTACTGAAAATCTCTTAATTAAATATATAGAGCTTACCTTTTTCTTTTCATTTTATGAGACCAGGAACAAATATTATTTACTATCAAAACGCAACAAGTATTAATCCTGTATCTTTTATTTTTATAGATAAAAATGCTTAATAACCATAGGAGGGACCAGAAAATCTTATTACAATGATGTTACGCTCTGCAAGCTCCCTTTAGAGTTATGTATCAGATATTATACAGTGATTTACTGTTAAAAATTATTTTTAATGATCTGACATCTACCTAACCCAAAAGATAAACTATAAATCTGTCATGATAATTTATTTCAGGCCCCCCAAAATTACATATTTTCTTGAACTTCATTTCCTGTAAATAGATTTGACCTCATAAACAAAGTCTCCTCTTATATATCAAGATAATATATGTTCCTTTTATGTTCCTACTAATAACCCTATATACTGATTTGCTATTTAAAAAATCATAAATAATCACAGACTTTTATTCAACTACAAATGTATTTAATAAAGACTTCATCTTTTTGCTACTGGTACAGTTTTTTTCTGATACATATCAATACATTAAGAACAGTTCTATCACAAAGTGTTTCAGTATTTGTCCCAGGCAATTTTTTAAAATCATTTTACATTTGGGTTTCCTTTGTAGAAAACTACTTCCACACTGAATTAGATGGTTAAGGGTTCAAAGGCTAGCATAAGCACATCTAAGTCCACTGTTCTCTGGCTGATGAGAGCCAGAGCTTAGAGTGGAAAAAGACAAATCAACAGGCCATGCAGTTAGCAGGAAAGAATGGAAGGTGCTAAGAGGGGCAGACAAGTAGTACTTGGAAGCTGGAGCGTATAAAACTAGTTAAATACCAGAAAGAGGAAACAAAAGCCAGGCCCCAAAGGAGAGGAGGAGCCCCAAACTCACATCAGCGAGGGACCAACGCCTGCAATCAAGTACCGATCAGAAATACCGAGAAGGGAATGCTGCGCCCTGTACTGTGTGTCTTTCATCTACAGATGCTCTAAATGGAGAAGCATAAACTCTTCTGTACTTCAAATGTCTATAAGCTAGTTTCAAGTAGGAAACCCTGCTATAGCCAGTGTAGCAGCAACAAGCCTCTAATCCCCATAGGAATTACCTTGTATAAAATAAAGCATATAGTGAACCAGACTCCAGCCCCAAATGTATGAGAACATGTTAAACCAATTAAGTGATGTCTTTATGCAATGCAGCACTAGGCTTCCACTAAACAAACATCACTATTCTGCCTCTAAACGATGGTATCTTTCTGGAGTTACATAATTACTGGTTCTGCTTCAAATTTCTACAAGAATAAAACAGCATACTAACGGAGACTTATTTACTATACCAAACCATTTAAAACTATAGATCACAGTTTTATTTATTCTTGAGAAAAACTGACCTCCCTTTTGTTGACTACGTATACTTATTCTCATCATAAATGTCCACTAATTATATGATTAAGGTTATTAGTCACAACTGTCCTTCAATTCAGCAGGGAATTTGGTAAGATCTTTAGAGGGCACTTGATCACAAGAGCTAAATTTGGCAAGTCTGAAATATAAAAAAGATAGAAAAATAATATGTGTTCTCTGAGAATGGTCTTTGGCCGAGGCGCAGAACAAGGCTGCCTTTGCTGCTCGGTGGTTGTCAGGTGTGGAGTAGGTATGCACATGGACTAAGCAGGTTTGATTTTTCTGGCTCCAGTAGCTCCAGGGAACCAAAAGAACAGGAGCACACATACAGCAAGATGAAGCTGCTCTAGTCTTTCAGAACAGGGTGTAGTTGGGTCCTGGGATCAGAAATCCAAACTTGACTAGATTAATGATGTCAAAGCTGCTTGGATTCGCTAAATATATTAAGGCACTTTGTTTTTCATGGTAATTAGCAAAGCTGCCTTTAATCTATCAGGCCGAATCAGCTAAAACTAGAAGAGAAAGGCTATGCATCTGGTCCACAGGTAGAAAGAGGCTTTGAAAAAGTCTGTAATAGTGACAGCAATAGGAATCGAAGTAGAACAAGGACCTTTAAATAAAGGGAAGGAAATGAGAGGGAAAGAAGACAAATTTGAGCCTCAACATACAACTTTGATCACACACGTGGCAAAATTTTCCTGTCAAATGTTCAATCTTTTTTTCACGACTTTTCCTAACAATCCTCACTTACATAGAATCAAAGCACTCACAAGAAATACTGAGTAAAATCATTTCAATTTGTACTTTAGATACTAATGTAAAAGAGACATTGATATAGGTGGGGTCCAGAAAGTGAGTTTACATAATACATATTTTAAATAACTTTTAAAGACTCACCTGTAGGCTTAACTGAATAAAACCCAATGGCCTCTCCTTTCTTCCACAGAATCTTAGCATAATCAGTACTGCTATGACACAGGAATGGGATCTCATTTCTCTCCATTTCCTGCTTTCTATAAATAATTCGATTCAGAACATACAGAACCACTCTCTCCCCAAGAGTTCTCACCTACAAAGAGAGTCAGACACCAGGCACAAGTTATAATACGCATCAACTGAGAGATGCAATTTACCTGACTCCCTGCTTCCATCTCATACTGACATTCAAAGCATTTTGAATACATTCAAAATGATTTGTAAACCATTTTATTATCACAAAGATGAGACCAAGTCATTCACACCAATAACAATCCATTTCTGTGGATACAAGTTATGCATGAAATAATGCCTCTCAGCAAAATTCTAAAATAGGCAAGCAGGTTTCCAGCATCTCCACTTCAGCAGTCAGTGTTCTCTTCTGGCTTCCAACTGCCCAGATCCCAGGTCTCCCCAAACTCTAACTGCAGCCCCCAACATCTCTAGTGCTTCAGCTCTTTCCACCCATTCCAGCCTACACAATTAAAAAAAAAAAGGAAATAAAATAAAAGGGACAAAAGCTTAGTGTTACTCTGAAGACTTGAAAAACAATCAACTCATTTGATGAGGAAAGCCGTAATTATGCCCTTGGGAAAAGCATCTGTCTTATCTTTTCCAGGTAAAATGGTCATTTGACAGTCATGTGTTTGTTATGCAACTCTCAGGAATACCTGTCTCCCCTCATACACATACACGCCTCCATCAGATCAGATGGGCAATGACAGTGGCACCAGGGCAGTGTGATGAAAACAAAACTTGGGTCAATCACAGAATGGAAACAGAACCTCACTCCTACAGGGAGGGCTCCATAGTCACTGGGACCCCTTCATCAACTGCCTGACACTGAACAGTGGGGTTTTCCCCACAGATATTTGTCACTGCTAAAAACAAGAGTCTAGCCATGAAATCTACACGCCCGCTCCAACTTTCCTTAAAGAAAAACAAGAATGTCTAATTAGGGGAAGGGGGAGAAAAAAACATTAGGCACACACACACTACCACCAAAAACCTCCCTGGAAAGAGATTTCCAATACCAACCACCACATGAAACGACCATGCTCACCAGCTTACAAAGTAACCCATGCCTTCCTTGAACAGCTCTGACCAGCATAAAATTCCTTCTCACACTGAGCTGAAATCTCTTTTCCAAAAACTATACTTTGCCTGATATTCTGGACCACAGAGTCTACAAATATTTGAAAACAGCCCTTATATTCTCCTAAATTTCCTATCAAAGCTGAATGTAGAAAAAGACTCATCTAATATGATTTTGGGTACTCCTGCCATTCCAGTCTTTTCCCTTGAAATGGCTTCAGATCCCGAATGTCTCTCTGCATGTCAGCAGATGCAGCTACTACAGATATAAACGGAAGATACTGATAAGATAATGGGGCTTTTCTGTATAAACTTAGGGTTTTTATCAGCTTTCTTTCTTTCCTTGATTTTACTTCTAATTAACTAAAGCCCAATCTTTTTCATATGTGCTGCTGTTTTAGTTTGATCTTCATGGTGTACAGTTAATTTTTTGAACCCATAGATATTATTTTACCTTTTTCACTAGTTTATTTTCATGTTAGATCCTTCTCTTTTGTTTCTTAATTCTGCCTTTACAGATGAGTTCTCTCTTCCAGCACTGTGGCATGAAGAACTGATAAGCATGCCAACTATGTCATCTTCTAAGCAATTGATAAAATGATGACTGGGACAGAAAAAAGACTAAGTTTTACAGTATGCTACTGAGGACCTCCTTTCCACTACACTGTTTGGAACACTGAATGGACCATCCAAAATGGCCCTACTGATAAGCAAGTTTCCTGATCAGTCTCTCCTAGAGACAGAGAACCTAAGCAACCACACAGAGAGAATAAGCTTTTTCCCACCCAAAAGGAAAAATCAGAACCTGAAGTTGATGTGGGTAACTACAGATCAATTAAACCACAGGTTCTCATTCCTCTTCCCTCAATACTCAGACCCTCACATTAAAATCAAGGAAGCCCAATCTAATTGCCAGTTTCACCATAATAATGGAACAATGAAAGGGTTTACTATCACCAGGAATACTAAAATGGAGAATAGCCCAGTAACTTCAAAAATTATCACTGTTTATGGGAAACACATTGTGAAATGGTCTCTTAAACACTTTTAAAACGACAGGGTCTTGTTACCTGCTTAAGCCCCTCTCTTGAAGGGACAGATGTTTTCACAATATCATCAATAGCCCACCACTGATCAGCAAGGTAAAGTGCCACAGCTAAAAGAGAATAAATGATGGTTAACATCGAAGTCTTAAAGTACATGATATTACTATTTTGTAGGTTTTTAAGGATACTCTTAAATACATCCATACTTTACAATACAGTGTGGCAGCCCCATTTATACTATCTTATTATATTTCACTCACTAAATATTTAACAGAGAAATTTTATTTTCCTAAATTTACAGTTTGAAATAAGTTGTTTTTTTTTTTTCAAAATTCCTTCATGTAGCTATCTTTTAATAAATTTCTAATTGTTTGGGGGAAAAAATTCCTCAATTTATAAAGGTTAAGCAAAACAGAGACCTGTGAGTGAGTCCTCAGGTGCAAAAAGAGCAAGAACTTTCTGGGTCTGATCTCCACCATAGAGAGGTACAAAGCCTACATTTGACAGGCTAATAGGAATCTGAAATGACAATTGATTAAACATTAGTGAAGAGTTGGTAAAGAAAATATCAAAAACACCATGTTTCTACCAAAATTTTAAACATACACTAACACTAATTGTAGTTTCTTCTCACAGAGGATATTTCTAGTCTCCAGAAAAAAAAAAAAAAAAAAAAAAAGACCACATGAGATAGGCTTTACTTTTGCAGGAATTTTATCAACTTGGGAGAAAAATTAAGTATTTCAATAAGTATCACTGTGCTGTAGCTATGCATCTGAATAAAAACAAAGGCATGATATGCTCTATAAAATGATTTTAAAATTTTATCATCTGTTATTTAGGTCACTTGAGGGAAAAATTTCATTTTCTAGTAAAAGACACTAGGGTATTTTTCCCCTGAGATATATACAATACTTTAAACCTTTTCTGCCTTCAACGAATTAAAGTTGTTCAGTCTAGTCTGACTCTTTGTGACCCCATGGACTGTAAACTGCCAGGCTTCTGTGTTCATGGAATTCTCCAGGCAAGAATACTGGAGTGGGTATTCCCTTCTCCGGAGGATATTCCCAACCCAGGGATCGAACCCGGGCCTCCGGCATTGTAGTCAGATTCTTCACAGTCTGGAATGCTAATTCCCTATTTACACATAATATTGCCATTCAAAAAACTGTAAAATAGTGATGTTGGAAGAAGCTGAGAATTCATTAAATAAACATCATTTGCCAAAAGAAAAACCTGAGGCCTAAAGAGGTTAGAGAATTTGTCATCAAATTCACACCAGAATTCTTAATTTTATGTCTAATGATCTATCAAAATATATTCAGAAATTTTTAATATTTTGGAGAAAGGAAGGCTTGTGACACAAAAAAGTGTAATGTAGTGTTTTGCTGATTTTTTTTCTTTCATTTTTTAATTAATTTTTTTTGCTGATTTTTATAAAAAAATGTTTGTAAACCAACAATTTCCAAATCTAAAGTAGATTTAACTGGGTTAGCTCAAATATGGCTAACTAGCCATTTGATCATGCTAACAAATCAATATTTATCCATTTTACTGAAAAGTGTTCTGATAAAATTTTCAAAGGTGATTAGTTAACACTTTAAAAGATAATGAAAGGATACTGACTTCAATATAAACTCAGTGGAAAAGACTGGTAAAAATCACAGCAGGATGCCTTACCGTAATATTGAGAAGAGAAAAACATTCCGGATTTTCATGGAGAAGTACAAAGCCTACATTTGACAAATCCTCAGCAGAATTTTCCAGTTCCTCATGACTGCAATTATCCAACATATCCACAGGGAATGCCATCCTCTTTAACAAACAACATGGGACAAAATGTTTCAGAGTATGAAATACTGTTTTCAAAAAAAAAAGAAATGCTATCTTCCTGTACTGAGAAAACTTTCTCTTGTAACAGCACAGCATTTTATTGTAGAGAGACTTCTTTTTTTACTACGCCAAGAAAGACTACAACTTGAGCCTGCTGATTTAAATGTATGTCAAAAAGAAAACTTAAACACTCATATTAAAAACAAGCAATGAAATAAGAATTAATGCCCATGCACCTTTGGTCAATTAATCTATGACAAAGGAGATAAGAATATACAATGGACAAAAGACAGTCTCTTCAATAAGCAGTGCTGGAAAAACTGGACAACTATATGCAAAAGAATGAAAGAACATTTTTCTTACACCATTTAAAACATTTCCTTATACCATTTACAAAAATAAACTCCAAATGGATTAAAGACCTGAACTTAAGACCAGAAACCATAACAGTCCTAGAAGAAAACATACACAGAATACGCTTTGACCTAGAGCCCAGCAATACTTTTCTGGATCTGTCTACGAGTGCAAAGGAAACAAAAGCAAAAATAAACAAATGGTACTTAATTAAACTGAAAAGCTTTTTCACAGCAAAGGAAATCATCAATAAAATAAAGAAACAACCTACTGAATAGGAGGAACTATTCGCAAATGATATGACCAATAAGGAATTAATATCCAAAATATATGAACAGCTCATACAACTCTATATCAAAAAACAAACCAGTTAAAATACAAGCAGAAGACCTGAATAAGCATTTTTCCAAAGAAGTCATACATACAGATTGGACAACAGGCACAGGAAAACATGCTCAATATCGCTAACCATCAAAGAAATGCAAGTCAAAACCACAACAATATATTATCTCACATCTGTAAGAATGGCCATCATCAGAAAGAACATGAATAACAAATGTGAGAGGTGTGGAGAAAAGGGAAAGGGAACCCTCCTACACTGTTGGTGGGAGTGTAAAATGGTACAGCCACTGCGGAAAACAATATGGAGGACCCTTAAGAAGATAAAATAAGGAATTCCTGGTGGTCCAAAGGTTAGGACACAGCACTTTCACTGTGCTGGGCCTGGGTTCAGTCTCTGGTTGGGGAACTGAGATCCTGCAAGTGAATACCTGGATATATACCTGAAGAAAACAAAAATAGTAATTCAAAAAGATACATGCCACCCAATATTCATAGCAGCACTATTTACAATAGCTAAGATACAGAAGTAACCTGTTTCCATAAACAGATGAATGGATTAAGAAGATCAGATCTTTTTTTAACATGGTGTGTATATATACATACACATAAATTAAAAAAAGAAGGAAATTTTTTCTTTTAAAGAATAACATGGATGGACCTAGAAGGTAATATGCTTACTGAATTAAGTCAGAGAAAGACAAATATTACATATTAGTTATATGTGAAATCTAAAAAATAAAACAAAAAAATGAACATAGCAAAAAAAATTCACGGATACAGAGAACACGCTGGTGTTTACCAGTGGGAAGCAGCAGAAAGGGGCAAGTTGGGGAATTAAGGAGTACAGATGACCATGCATCAAACAAGCTACAAGGGTCCACTGTTCCTACAGGGAAATGTATGATTAGTTTATAATAACTTCAAATTGCATGTGTGTCTCTGTGCGTGTGTGCACACAGGCACACACACACTCAGTCATGTCCTACTTTTTGACCCCATGGACTGTAGCCCATCAGGCTTCTCTGTCTATGGAATTTTCCACCCAAGAACACTAGAGTGGATTGCCATGCCCTCCTCCAGAGGATCTGCCCGACCCAGAGACTGAACCTGAGTCTCTTGCATCTCCTGCACTGGCAGGTATATTCTTTACCACCGTACCATAAATGGAATATAACCTATAAAAACACTGAATCGCTGTTTTACACATCTGAAACTAATACTGTAAATCCACTATACTTCATTTTTTAAAAAATGAATAATTCCTTAAATGATAAAACTAAATATTTACAAGGTATAGGATATAAACACACATGCATACAAATAAATCATCATATACCTCTCAACATAAGAGTTGCTATAAAAGGACACAGGAACTTTTCAGAATCAAAGAAACATTTACAAATAAGTTTTGGTGATGATTGAACAACCTTATAAATTTACTTTTTAAAAAAAATCTCTGAAGTACAGCCGTAACGGGTAAATGTCGTTCAGTCACTCAGTTGTTTCTCACTCTTTGCAACCCCACGGACCGCAGCACGCCAGGCTTCCCTGTCCTTCACTATGTCTCGGAGCTTGCTCAGACTCATGTCCATCAAGTTGATAATGTCATCCAACCATCTCACCCTCTGTCGCCCCCTTCTCCTCTTGCCCTCAATCTTTTACAGCATCAGGGTCTTTTCCAATGTGTCAGCTCTTCACATCAGGTGGCCAAAGTATTGAAGCTTCAGCATCAGTCCTTCCAATGAATATTCAGGGTTGATTTCCTTTAGGATTGACTGGTTTGATCTCCTTGCAGTCCAAGGGACTCTCAAGCGTCTTCTCCAACACCACAGCTCAAAAGCATCAAGTCTTCCGTGCTCAGCCTTCTTTATGGTCTAACTCTCACACCTGCACATTACTACTGGGAAAACCATAGCTTTGACTTTACAGATCTTTGTCAAAGCAATGTCTCCACTTTTTAATACACTGTTTACGTTTGTCATGGCTTTTCTTCCAAGGAGCAAATGTCTTTTAATTTCATGGCTGCAGTCACCATCCGCAGTGATTTTGGAGCCCGAGAATATAAAATCTGTCACTATTTCCATTTTTTCTACATCTATTTGCCATGAAGTAATGGGACCAGATGTCATGATCTTAGTTTTTTTTAATGCTGAGTTTTAAGCCAGCTTTTTCATTCTCCTCTGTCACCTTCATCAAGAGGTTCTTTAGTTCCTCTTCACTTTCTGCCATAAGGGTAGTGTCATTTGCATATCTGAAATTACTGATTATTTCTCCCAGCAATCTTGATTCCAGCTTGTGCTTTATCCAGCCTGGCATTTCACATGACATACTCTGCACAGAAGCTAAATAAGCAGGGTGACAACATACAAACTTGATGTACTCCTTTCCCAACGTGGAACCAGTCTGTTGTTCCATGTATAGTTCTAACTGTTGCTTCTTGACCTGCATACAGGTTTCTCAGAAGGCAGGTAAGGTGGTCTGGTATTCCCATCTCTTTAAGAATTTAAAGTTTGTAAACTGTATCTCTTATGAATACAGCTGTTAAAAAAGGAAGCCAACAACCTAGAGGGGGTGGGGAACACTAAAGATTTTTCACTAAAGTCAAGAAAAATAAGGACTTACCTAATAAATAATATTATATAGGTACTTGCTAATGCCATTAGTCGAGAAAATTAAGACTTCCCTAGTGGCCCAGTGGTTAAGAACCCACTTGCCAATGCAGAAACAGAGGTTCAATCCCTGGTCCAGGATGATTCCACATGCCGAGGGACAACTAAGCCCACATGCTGCAAGTACTGAGCCTGAGCTCTAGAGCCCGAGCCACAGCTGCTAAGATCCACACACCCTGGAGCCCATGCTCCACAACAAGAGAAGCCACTGCAATGAGAATCCCAAGCACAGCAACTAGAGAGGAGCCCCCACTCGCCTCAACTAGAGAAAGCTCACGCACTGCAACAAAGACCCAGAACAGCCATAAGATAATTAATTAATTAACTAAAAAATTAAAGAGAAAAGCAATTAGAGGCATAACAATTGGGGACAGGTGCATGGGTTAGGGGGAAAGGGAGACTATCTCTACTCCAATTTGCAAATAATACATTTAACTGAAAAACAAAAAAACAAAAACAAAAATCAATGGAAAAATTATTTCAAACAATTAAGAAAATGTAGTAAAATTGTGAGATATAAAATTACATAGAGAAATCAAGCCCTCATATATATATAGTAATAACCAGTAAGAAGAAACAATAAATGGAAAGTCCAGGACTTTTTAATAGGTACTACTGTTTCACTGGTCTGTCTTACAATATATTGAAATGAGAAATTAATTTTTCCCATTAAAAAAATATTTATTTATTTGACTGTGCTGGGTCTTCGCTGCAGCATGTGGGATCTAGTTCCCTGGCGAGGGATTGAACCCTGGGCCCTTCATGGGAACTCAAGAGTCTTAGCCATTGAAGTCCCAAAAAGTTTTTTTTTAATCTAGGGGAAAAGTCACTGAAAAAATAAGTTACTTTTCTTTAAAGTGACCTTCAAATCTATTTTAATACAACAAAAGCATCATTAGATAAGGAACTGAATATCTAATAGAAATATGAGATAAACACAAAAAAGACATATACTGTTATACATACAATTAAACATATTTTTCTGAATTCTGAAGATATGTTAGTGAGAGGAAGTTCTTTTTTTTTTAACCATAATCTGAAATACTGGTCCTAAGAACTTTAAAACCTGATGTACATACGACTGGGACCTTAATTTGTAAATATATATACAATTTTTTAAATTAAGCTGACTTTTTTTAATTTTTAAAAATCAAAACCTAGAAATAGAACACTTAAATCAACCCATCTGCTAGCAAATGTCTAAATAAAAAGAGAAAGTAAGAAAAACTTGTGACACTATTTATGAAAGCGATACCATAGGACTTCCAAACAGCTTGTGAAAAGGAGGAAAATAAAAACCAAATTTCAAGAGAGAACCAAAAAAAAAAAAAAAAAGAGAACCATCAGGAGCTTATCTAAATAAGATGTTATAGTTAGAAAGGGATCCTAAAATAAAACAGTAGCTCTACATTGAAGGAAGCTTATTTGTTAGTTTGGCAAATCTCTGTATCTCTATCAAAGTCAATATGAAAAAGCAATCTAAGCAAATACAACATTATGTTCTATAGTCAAACCGTCAACTCGAATGAAGAAATGGGACTTCCCTAGTGGTCCAATGGTTAAGACTCCACATTCCCAATGCAGGGGGCCCAGGTTCAACCCCTGGTCAGGGAACTAGATCCCACATGCTCCAATTAAGACTCGATGCAGCCAAACAAAAATATTTTTTTTCTTACAAAAACTAAAAACATGAGTGAAAGAAAACATGAGTCAACAGCAAGTGAAAACAGCACAAGGAGGACACTGGTTAAAAGCACGTAGTACAGTAACCGTTTTTGCTTTCCTGTAGACAAAATCCCAACTTTGTGCCCAAGTAAAACATTCAAAGGCACTTAATATG